GTATATGACGAAATGGGTTTTTTTATATAAAATTCCAAATCCACTTAAATTCCGTTTCCACCTACAACATATATATACTATACTAAGGTACTATACTAAGGTATATATACTATACTAAGGTACTATACTAGGGTATAAACCGGACATATTCCCTATAGATTTTGTCCGGTACAAAATATAATTGAAAGCCCGATGACCGATTTTCCCTTGGCGGCACTCATATACTAACAGCTAATATAAATATATATATTATAGCAATATGGCTAATTTTTATTTTTAAGACCAAAAATACATAAACTTAACAATATTAGGGCTTGAGTTAACGATTGGAGGTTTTTTAACCTATTTTTTACTTAATAGCGATAGCATAACCAGTGAATTTTATCTCTCCAGTTAGCTATCTCATACTTTCTATAGCAGATAGCAACTCATGTTTGTACGTACGTACGTAAACAAATTTTTTATGATATAGAACAGTATAAAACCGTTATACTAATCCTGTCAATTTTCATCACAATAAGTGTGATCTTTGTGATATCTTTTGTACACAATTAATATACGTAAGCAAAAATAGCAACTTTGCTAACTTACAGTTGAGCCTCACATTAGACGTCTTATCTGCAATAGTTCACCCTCCCTGTCCAAGCCTAATCCTTTTTATCGGTCTTTTACTGAAGCAAAAGTAACGCTTGGAGACTTATTATAAAAAGTTCATTTTTTACTATGGAAGACACTTTAACCGAACGATCAATCAATGTTAAATTTCGTTCTTCTAATGGCGATGCTTTCGATATGTGCTTTGATCCTGGACAGTTGACTGTTCAACAACTAAAAGAGAGGCTTGTTACGCAAATTTCTATACCTGCAGATAATATGCGTCTCGTTTACTCCGGAAGGGTATTGAAGGATGAGGATATGGTAGACCTATACGGTGAGTAGGAGGTATACGCCTCGACGTATCAAGTCTCAAAGATCAAGAACTGTGGTCAACGACTGGTTCTGCATGTGAACGACTATCGTTCTTGCGATCTAGGTGTTATCAATGTGATTATTGATCTAGAAACTTTGGCTAGAATGTCAACTTATTTACAATAAGTAGCTTCGCATTTTGTCTCATTTTCTTTGTGTACATTCATTCCATAGGTGTAAAAGAAGGTCATACGATACATGTTGTTCGGGGGGCAGCTAACCGTGCAGCCGAACAAGCAGCAAATGTGACACCGATTACATCAACCCAAGGAAACGTTAATGGGACGGCGACAAATCCTTTTGGAATTAATCATTTTGGAACCAGTCTCGAACAAGATATGAGAAATATGATGAATTCACCTGTAATTAGGGTATTTATATAACTGTACAATATATAATATAATGTTTGTTAGTTTCATTGAAAAGAATTGAACTATTAACTATTCATTGAATATGTTATTCTAATAGCAATTGCTTTCTAATCCTGAAATTGTGAGGTCTATGGTGATGCAAAATCCAACAATGCGACAAATGATTGAGCGAAACCCCGAAATTGGACATATAATTGTAAGTTTAAATATTAAATCTATTTAATCGTCTCTTTTGATGACATAGCTTTCTAATAACATCATAATTTTACGCATTTATTAGAATGACCCATCCTTTATCCGCCAGGTTCTTACAGTTAACATTTTTCTTGCTTTATACGTGCATATTTCTGGTCTTATTAAATTGTTGTTTATAGACAATGGATATGGCACGTAATCCCGAACTGATGAGGGAGATGATGCGTAATAATGGTAAATAATAGGTCTTATTCATTTATTTTTACTCACGATTATGAAAATTGAAAAGTTAATAGTTTTATCCATTAGATCGAGCATTGGCAAATCTTGAAACTATACCAGGTGGTTTTAACCATTTACGACGAATGTACCATACCTTACAGGAACCACTTGAGTCTGCAGGCCGACATGTATGTCAATGTTATTTTGCGTTTTCAACATCAAACAATTTTTTATGAAATAAATCTAAATAAACCTTACGCCTGATAAAGAATGATCAATCATCAGAGGCAGTAAACCAACGCCTTGCTCAATTATTAAATGTTGAAAGACCACCAGGTATACTTTGTATATATGTATATGTGCATATATATTTATATTTAGATTTTAAGAGTTACTTTATTCAACAGAGGGGCGAATAAATAATGTACCATTGCCGAACCCATGGACACCACGTAATAGTGCCACTATAGCAAATGCTAATAATCCTTTTGGATGTAATTATCAAATTTTAGAGTTTATTTTATCTATTTTAATATTCAAATTTAATGCTTATATTCATTGTTCAGCACTTTCGGGAATATCTCCTTATAGCATCATGGGTTTTCCACCTACTCAACTGGTATAAAATAGCTTTGCTGTTCATGTTAGAAAACTTTAAGAAATAATTAATGTTTGCGATCGTCTACTATGTCTTTATATAGTCTTTTTCACCTTCATCAGCCGCTTCTCGAAACGCACCAACTACACAAGCTCCAACTCAATCAACAACAGGGACACCAAGTACAGGAACTCCAACGACTAGCTCATCAACAACCGGTTCATCCAACTCAACATCCTCAAACATCCCAGCGCCGAACTTTATGTTTCCAACAAATGCACAGAATATTTCGACGGCTAATGATCCGGAGTTTATTAGACGTTTTCAGCAACTTATGCAACGTTATATGACATCTCCGCAACTTGTAACATCACGCCAGCAAATGCCCCAAACATATTATCCGGCATCTTTCTTTGGATCGCCTAATCCATTCTTCACTCCATCACTTGGGTAATTATAGCATACAAAATTTTTAATATTTGATTTAAAATTTTATTAATGTAAATTTTACAGTGCAACACAGACACCAGTATCTACTCAGCCGTCTGAACCCCCCGAAACACGTTTCAGAACGCAACTCCAAATGCTTGAAGAAATGGGGTTCGTTGATCAAGCCGCAAATATCCGTGCTTTACTTGCTACTGGAGGTGATGTCAATTCTGCCATTGAATTCCTGTTGGCTCATCGAAGTTGATTTGCTGGAGTTAAATCATGAAATGATCAAATTAGGTAAAATCTTATGGATACATTATTGTATGATTAGAACGTTTATACATATTTGTTCTCCGTTGAAATTGTTGGCCATCTTTTTATATTTTTATAACTTTCTCTGTAATTATAGTAGTTTGCGCAGAACAATTAGTATTGTTTGGTGTATTCGGTTTCATGAATTCTTTCAATTTTGTTGATTATTAGAACATTGTGAAGTTAACTAAATTACTAAAACATATATTATTTGATCTAAGTTCGTATTTGCTTTTAGCGAAGATACAAAGAAGGACGAAATTTCTTGGGATATTTGGTAACAATAATCACATAGTTAAACCAACATTATGAAAATTTTGGTTGAAAATCGCTCTTATCTACACATTTATTGTGTTGAACTATATATAATTTTAAATGGATTTAATATTGTTGATTCATCATATTACAATATAAAATATGACAATTCAGCGTTGTTAGATTAGATATCGATGTTGCTATTTATTTTTGTGTTCAATTTGGATAACTTGTCATGAATAATTTGAAATTTTTTTTTATTAATAAAATAATTGACAATTTACAGGATAATTTATAATTCACTTCTACTAAAACGCACCTATGGAGTTTTACCACCGAGGTCCCTATTTTTCAAAAACGTACTAAGTAAACGGGATCAATAAAATGTCCAGGACCCCAAAAACCTCACGAAAACTGAGATCGGGCCTTATATTAGCTCTATATTATATTATATAAAAAAAAAATAATTCTTAATACCCGAACCCTAACCTTAAATTTTATTATATAAATACAATTATATATAGTGCTAAAACACCATAGGTGCGTTTTATAATTATTTATATATAATTAGTTATATTTTAAGATAAAAAATGTTTATAATTTTGCAAAAACTAATTCAAAATTGAAATAATTTATTCACTGCCCGGATGAATTGGGCTTGGTGCTAAGAAAAGGGCGGAAATTGACAATTTTTTCAAAAGATGTTTTTTTAAATAAATCAATTTAAAATAAGATTAGGATCATTTTTCACTTAAGACACATGATTTATTATAAGATTTACAACATAAAAATTGATTTTCCGAAGATCTTTTTTTTGTCAATTTCCGCTTTTTTCTCAGCACCAAGCCCAATTAATCACACCTCATCATTTTTTTTAAAAAAAATAGTAAAATCTAAGATGTTAGCTGGTTAGGGTTAAGTGCATTATATGTAAAATTATGTAAAGAATCTTATTTGTTAGAACCCAAAGAGTGGTTTCATAAGCAAAATAGTGAAATATTAGCGATTTTTTAAAAAATTGTTTTTGTTTTGTTATACAAAGATAATTTATATTAGTGATTTAAGCTGTAAGGTTTTAGTTGGCTGGCTTAGCCAGTCAACTAAAATATTGGCTAATTGACTAGCTAATCTCTTAATTTGATTTCAGAGTAAATTAACATCTTTAAAATATTTATAATATTTTTATAGTTTAGAAAATTAATATAATATTATACTTAAAATACAAAAAAACATTGCTAAAGACAATTACAAGACCATTATAAGGTTGATAATATGTAGATACTTTTAGCAGTTAAGTGGGTTTCTTCTAGCAATAGAGAATATTATAATCTAGCATGTTATACTATAGACTAAACAGTAAATAGCTATTATATAATACTGTATATTTTCAAAAATAAGCTATCTTTTTTAAGCTAATTTTAAATACAAAAAATGAAGAGTAGCTTATTTTTAATAGGTTTATAACTTTAAAAAATTTATACTTAATAATAGAGTAACTTATTATTAGATATTTATTTTTTAAAAAAAATAAGTATATAAATTTTTTCAATTTACAATTTAATCTAGTTACTAATATAAGATTTTTATTAATAATAGTATATATAATAGTTATTAAAATTACAGTATATATATAAATATTTATATTGTATCAAATAGTAATTGTAGTTGATTTAGTGTTAGTTGATAAAATCAATTTAGTCAACTAAGTTAATTGATTTTTTAAAAAATCAACTTAGTTGAGTTGATTAAAATTAATTATATTATCAATAAATAGCCAATTAAAATGCATTAAATATAAAAATAAAAATACTATTTTCAAGACCAAATATATATATTACTTTAAAAATTTATAATTATAAAATAAAACAAAAACTAATTTGTATTTTATATTTCATCTTTGTTAATATTATCATAGCCAAGAAAAATTTATCTAATTTAAATTTATTAAAAATTGCTATATTTAAATTTTAAAGAAATATATAGTAATATTCAGTTTGGGAATATACCAAATTTAGAAATCGGGTTCTAGAAGAATCTACAAACAGGTTCATGCATTTGATTGGTTGTCACACTTCTTTTTTATACATATATTTGGGCTAGAGTTTTACTAAATTTTATATATTTATTTATTACTAAACGATATATGAATATATAATAAAGGCGACAAACCTCAACAATCCTAAATAATCACGCAAAGTAAGTCGTCTACAAAAAGTAAATGAGAACATAAATTTATGTTTATTTCTATGTATTTTTAAGTAATAAAAAAAAGAAAACCCTGTATTTTTGTAGTATACTAATACAAATAGAATGAATATATAGCACATGAATATAGTAAAAACGAACATAGCATATATAATAGTAAGAACGAACGTAGCATAATAGTAAGAAAAGAATATAGTACAATAATTGGGTAAACATAACACAATAGGAATGAATATAGCATAGTTAGAATGAATATAATATAATAGTTAGAACAAGTATAATCATTGGACGAACATAGTGCAATAGGTAGAATGAACATAACACAATAGTTTGAACTTAGCAATAGTTGAGATAAAATATAACATAATAATAAGAACGAATATTAGTATTATAGTTGGGATAGATAGATATAGCAAGATAGTTAGGTAAATTTAGAATAAATGTAGCATGATAATTAGGACAGATGTAGAAACAAATATAGCATGTTAGTAAACAAACTTAGCACAATAATTGGAACAAGTATAGCACAATAGTTAGATAGATTCAGAATGAATATATGAATAATAGGCAGATTTAGAATAAGAGTTGGTTAATTCGGGACATAGTATAAGTTTGGTATATTCGTGACATAGCACGATTAATAAATAAAAAATAATATTTATTTAAAAAAATGAAGTAAATAAATTGTACTGTATATAGTTAGATTCTCAATACAGCAATATAGTATTATAATAATTAGATTAAAATTAATAAAAAAAAATAAAAATGATTTAAAAAAATGAAGTAAAAAAAATTTTTTTGCTTGATAGCCAATCTTCAATTTGATTGGTTAGCGATTATACTTTAGAAATTTCCAGAATCAATTGAGCAATGATCTATTTCTATATAAGATGTGATCTGTACTATCTATTTATAGTATATTCCCAGACTGAATTAGGCTTTCAAGTTATTGATAGCTTTTGTAGAACCGAATTGTATTTTGAACAACCCTTTATTTTTTTGATTATTTTTATAGTTGCAACAATTTTCTCGAAGGTTTAAAGCTATATTATAAAAAAATTTTTTTCTTTAATGCTTTATTAAACTTGTATATACAGTATGTTATATTTTAATTAGTATAAAATCACTGAATGAGTTTTAAGGATTAAAACACCAATATTATAATTAATTTTAATATATTTGCATTAAAAACTTTCTAACTAGTTATCTCTTTTGGTCCTTCATAATATTAATATTGAATCTTTACAATATAAAATTTTACAATATTGAATCTTCAACATGTTGAATTTTTCTATATCGAGAGTTTTTAAAGTAATATATTGCACAGATAACTTCAAAAATCAGACAAATAAAAATAATTTAATACATATTACCTGTGCTTATATTATTTTTAGCTATACACTATTTATTTTCTGGTTTGTATTTTTACTTCACCACTTGTATGCTTTATTTGACTCTTTTGCACTATATAGCCTTTGTTTGTAGTAATATTAGATTAGATATAATATCAAGAAGCACATATAGAAAATATGATACATTGGGCGCAAAAAATTAGAATAAATATAATAGATTGAAAAGGGTTAAAGTATGTTATTGAAAGTATAGATATAAATGAGATAGTATCTGGTTTGTACATGATAAAAAAATATAAAAACCTACAATAAAGTTCTGCAAAGTTTATTATTATAAATTCTTGATAAAATAACCATTACTAAACATCTATTCAGTAAAAAACAATTTATTTATTAATATATTGATTTTTCCATTATTTCATAATTAAAAATTAGAATAGAAGAAAGCGATATAGCAGAAAGCTCAATAATCGAAAGCCCAATAGTTAATAGCCCAATGAGTGAAAGCTCAATAAATGAGAGCTCAATAGGTGAAAGTTTAATCATCAAAGATCTAATTGTCGAAAGCTCAGTAGAGGTAGAAGAAATTCAAATTGAGGAAAACAAAACAGGTAAAAGTTTAGTTTTATGAGATACTTTAAAAAAACGTAAAAATAGAAAAGATAAATCATCTGAGCAATATAAGGCATAACTTGTATGTGATTACAAAAGAAAATAACAAAAAAGAGCAAAAGATATATTATGTAAAGCCAGAGAAAACCTTAAAGACCTCGAAGCAACTCTTATAGATAATAGCAACTAAGATCCTCAATTAGGAACTGAAGTGCATATGGATGAACCAAATATATTCCGGTCTTCTACAATTATTGATGAATATAATAGAGTTCTTTTAAAACAGTTTTGTAATAAAGTGGCAAAGCTAAAACATATATCTTGTCCCACATATAATGAATATTTTCTATCAATAACACATGTCATAAAAGAATGTAGTCATTGCTATAGTAAGAAAACCTTGCCAAAAAAATTCTTATTTGATAATAATATGAATCTAGGAGAAGTATCTGAAGAGCTCCAAGAACTTATTGAAATTAAAGAGATATTAATTATACAAGTTTTTCCTGTAATAGTAGTTTATAGGCTTTGTGAAAGGCAGCATAAATATAAAGAAAATGGCATTAATTTTTTTTAAGATGTAAAGAAATTTACTACTCATCTCTCTTGACATCCATCTTCATTAAATATGTTTATTATATGTTGGCAATCCAATAAAGAACCAACGGTATTTAGAGATTTTAAAGTTTATCGAGATAAAGTTACTCATGCATTGTGTTGGTTAAAAACAAACAATACTTATTATTCAGATATCACTATAGATGATAAAAATCTTCGATCTCTGTCAGAGAACAGTTTTATTGATAATTAGCTTCAAATTAATCAATTAGTAGATAATAAATTTAATGAAAAAAATGAGAAAAATATAATTACAAGTACCTTATACTCTTTTTGCTCTCAGATAATTAAGAAGACATTGTTATAAATAACACAATTAATAGGCTATTAACTAATAGTGATACTATTGAGTGGCTAATAATTGATAGCAATCCTATTAATGAATTTCAAATAGCAGAGGCAGAGTATATTGCATATGCATTTTCAACTCTTTATTCAACCAAACATGTCAACCTTTGTTTAGTATGTACATATTAAAAACATTAAACTAGCTAAATATTTTAAACATTTGTTGCTATATATAGATGAAAGGTTTGCTTGTCATCCTTATTAGCAATATTTTGCACTTAATTTACAGATAAGATAGCAAGCACTATAGAAAGGAAGAGTATATATTAAACAAAATTTTAATAATAATCAGTTTACAGTTACAAAAATACAAGAAATAATTGCTGATAGTAATGCATATATAGCTAATTAGATTATGAGATTTGGTCTTGGTATACATGAATCAAGACAGTTTTGGAATATGAGACATTGTGAATTGTTAGATATGATTAAGCAATTAGATTTGCAAGGTTTAATATTTTTTACTTTCAGTGCTGCTGATCTACACTGGCCAGAACTTCATGCACTTATACCATCTAATGAAAACTATCATCAAAGTATCATTGACAATCCTTATCTTGCTACTTGGTTCTTTAACAAATAGTTTGAAATTTTTTTTTTCTATGTATTAGTAAAAAAATAGAAATTGGAAGATTGTTAGTATAGATTCAAATAGCAACATTGTGGTAGTGTTCATATACACAGAATTGGAAAAATAAAAGATGCACATAAAATTGAATAGGAACAACTAAAAGATGATGAAATTAAATTAAAAGAGATAATAAAATATATTGATTCTTTGATTACTACAATTAACCCAGAACCTTATTTTCCTGTTCCTAATCACCATCTGTGTCAAAAATATTGTGAAAAACTATATGATAACCTACAAGATTATATCGAATTAGTTAACAAGTTGCCCTTCTATAGATAATATTAATACAGCTACTACTTCCAAAATAATGATATCCTCCACTGATAGTGGGCCATTTTTGGAAGAGAATAGTGTAAGTAGGTGGGTAGGAAAGCCATTTTACGCAGAGGACCAAGTTAATAATAGCCAGACCCAATATACAAAACAAGCTATAGCATTCTTTGCAGCTGCAAGAGCCAAGCATACAGTGAGTGCCTCTATAGAAAGAATCCTGAACAACTCAGATACCAACCTATCAAATCCCTCTAAGGTTACCCCTCATAACACCCTCTTATTCACTACAACACAACCAACCATTCTATCATTATTCCTACCCACTTCATCTATTTAAACAACCAACTTATCAACTTTTTCTCCAAATCTATCAGAAAACTCTAAAAATGATAACCTATCTCTAACTACTAAAACACTATGAGAAAAACCCTCTGCAAATCTACTATCAGATCTACTTGAAATATATGATAATACAACATACTTTAACAAATTCTTATCTCTATATAATCTTCAACCTCTCTCAAGTCCACAAATAACCACCTCTTTTCTCCACCATATCAAAAATAATTATTCAATATACTACTCTAAACACTTTATCAAAATCTTAATCCAAAAAGTGACAATCTTCCTATAAAAGCATATATATATCTCCCACTAGAAAACATACTTCTTACAAATTATATTCTTTTTCCTTTTAAAGATCTACCTATATTTCAAAATATTCCACTCAAATCCAACTACCCAATACTCAATAATATATCTTCTTTACAAACTTGTGAATATAGTTTTCTCTCTAACCATTCTTCTAATATACTCTTAAATAATGTACCACTTTCTACTATTCTCTCTCTTTAATCTAAATACTTCTCTATTCCTATTAAAATTGCTTTCTTTAATATTAAAGCCTCTATCAACCAGCAAAGAAACTTTTTTTATTTGATACATTAAATAACAACTCTTATGATATCTTAGATCTTTTTAAAACACATTTCTCCACCAAAGAAAAAAAATTTCTTAATAACCAAACCCCAAATTATAATAGTTTCTGGAGCTCATATGAACAACTATACCAGGCTAGTGTAGGAATTTTCATCCATTATTAAATAGCCAAACATATAGTATGTACACATAACTATAAAGACCATATCATTGGCTTTGATCTCTATTTCAAAAATTTGTCAATTCAGCTACTACAAATCTACATTTCTACTTTTGAGAAAAAACAACTTTATAAAGAAATCTAAAAACAAACTATTCTACTCTTACAAAACCCAAACTACAAAATCATAATTATAGGTGATCTTAATGGTGTCCTGAATCCAAGAATATATCGCTTTTCTCTCAAAAAAATATCTATACTCAAACTTTAACTTATTAAATATTTACAAAGTCATCAATTCAAAGATATCTACTATTTCTTCTTTTCCAATTCCCCAAACTTTACTTTTTAACGTGCCAACACTCAGAGTAGAATTGACCAAATCTGAACAAATCTCTCAATTACCAATATTGAATATACAGATATAATCTCAAATACTCAAATCGAATCTGACTATCATATTATAACCCTTGAAATATCAATTATCTTAAACAAGTCCAAATCTCAAAAACAAAAAAAGAAAACTCTTCCTATGAAAAAACTGCTCCAAACAAACTTTGAAAAACTATGCACTACAAACAACTTGCAATCTCCAATATATTTCTTTCCAAATTATCTCAATATCGAATCAAAACCAACTTAATCTTTGCTAGAACAAAATTCACAAAGCTTTATCCAAAGCAGCTATAAAACATATCCCTTACAAAAAAATTAACACAGTTAAAGAACTGAAAAACAAACCTTTTACTAAAAAATCTCCACTCTATTACCAATACAAACAAATACAATATCTTAAAAATCACTATTTCTCCTCCAATTTCAATTCTCTTTTTCATAACTATCGATCACAATATTCTGAAAACTCTCTTTCTACAAATGACCCCTTATTTATACAAATCAAAAATGAGTTTCAAACTATCAAAACTGTACTTAACTATCAATACCAACAAGAACTTTACTTCAAAATTAAACAAAAAATAGAAAATCATAACAAAATCTTTCTCAAAACCTCTAAAATCTTCTACAAAAACATACTTCAAAAATATAACAATATCAATATTAATTGTCTCCTTCTAAACAACTCACTTCTAACTGAACATAATGAAATTTTTAATACAATCTATAACTACTTATCTAATTACTTTAATAAAAAATCTCTAATTTTATTTCTGCTATCCTCTGAATTTTATAATCTATATTAACCACACCCAGAACTTGAATCACTTTATAATAATTTGCTTAATAATATTTTAACTCAGGAATAGGTAGAAACTATATCAGATTTACCAAACCAAAAAGCAGCAGGGCTCTCTGAAACCTGCTATGAACATGTCAAATATACTA